CCGCAGCGGAGAACGCAAAGCTTTTGGGCAGTTTCGCCCGCCGGGAGCTCAGGGCCGGCACGTGATCGAGCCTCGCCACCTGACATTGGGCTCCGTCGCTGCGTCAGTTCTTAAAAAGAGCCGCCGCGAGCTGCGTTCTATTCACGGCCGAGCTGCACGTTCTTTAAGCGCCGAAGATTTCAATAAAAAGGCTCGCGGACAACAGAAGCCGCGTCAGTCCCTCTGGCTCTCCGCGTTTCCCGCCGCTGCTGCTGTTCTTTTTACTACTCTAACTATGATATTTTATTCACATTCTCTTTTGTATTTCTGCTCAGTCGAAGGAGCCAAGATGCTTTCTGCTCGCTTCTCCTCTTTTCCGCTGAAAGAATGAAAACACACTCAGCAGCGAGATCAACAAAATGCTCTGGTGGACAAAGAAAAACACGGTGAGGAAAACGGTCGACTCATTGATCCGTGTTAACCGGTAAAAGCTCCGCGTTTTTCAGGTGCCCGCTTTACGTGTTTTAAAGTTGTGCCGGGGTGTCGTCCGGATATACAGTGTGGTGAGCCGCGTCCAATAACGCGCGTATAATCCCCTGTTGAAACGCTGTTTACGGACTAAATTGAAGCCTTTGTGTGCCGCGCTTCGTCTCTTCAGCCACCGAAGTCTAGAAACACAGCCGCATCCTGGCTCCAGAACCGCGCGGCAAACCATCTTCTCCGGTGCCTGCGGTGAGTGAATCCCAGCTGCTACCGCCTCCAGATGTTCCGCCGCTCGCCACACACACATTTCCCGCCACAGCATTCAGCACCAGAAACCGGCACTTTTGGGCCGGGTTTTGGCGTGCAGGTGGCCGCCGTGAGAAGCGGGTCGCGTTGTGGGGCGACCAACACGCGACGATTCAGCTGTTTGGCGGGTTTATTCTAGGAGATAAACCGTTACTTGTGTATTACTTTACTTAATATATTTACTGTTTATTTAGGCTTAATAGGTTACATTATTGACTTTATTAATATGGGTTGTACTGGTAGTTACCTCTCTATTAATGTAGTTTACTTTTATTACTTTGATTTAAGTTGTATTTTACTTTTATTACTTGATTAATATATTTAATGGCTTTTACTAACTTTATTAACTATATGTTACTTTTTAATTACTTTATTATAATTATATGTTTACTTTATTACTTTATTAAATTAATATTAAATAATCTTACATTTGATTTTACTTTTTAGTTAAATGTGGATTATAACAGCTGTGATATCGTTGTATTATCATATATTTTACGCATTGATTTGACTTGTGATTTAATTTAAGTATATTAACATTTTTGTCGCTTTATAATGTATTTACAGGGCTGTATGACTTCGATTAAGTAATTGTAATATAGTGTGCTAGTGGGTATATTACAGTACTGGAAATTTATTACTCAATTATATTTATAATGATTGTTATATAGTCTTCTTGTTATGTATTATTTATTAATGTATTGTATACTTTTATTATTTAACTTTATTTTTGGAAATGTTTTTACTTGAGTACTTTATATGATTAATGTATTTATCTTTTTATTTACTTTGATTAATATTATCTTTTATTACTTTATTAATGTTTTACATTTATTTCTTTATAATATTTATTACATTTATTTACTTAATGTAATATATTACGATTTATTGCTTTATTAATATATTTACATTTATTACTTTATTAATGTATTTACATTTATTAACTTTATAATGTATTTACATGTTATTACTTTATTAATATGTTTACTTTATTACTTTATTAATATGTTTACTTATTACTTTATAATATATTTAAATTTATTACTTTATTTAATATGTTTTACTTTTTTACTTTATTAATATGTTTACTTTTATACTTTATTAATATGTTTACTTTTATTTACTTATTAATATATTTACTTTTATTACTTTGATTACATATATTACTTTTATTACTTATTAATATATTTTACTTTTATTGCTTTTATTAATAATTTACATTATTGCTTATTAATATATTTACTTTTATTCTATTAATATTATTACATTTATTGCTATAAATTATTACATTTATACTTTATTAATGTATTTAATTATTAGTTTATAATATGATTTAAAATTATTACTTTATTAATATATTTACATTTATTACTTTATTAATATATTTACATTTATTACTTTAATACCTGAACAACCAGAATGTCAACGATTATAACTGAATACTCTTCACTCGTAGCAGCTCGTCTC